TCACAGGCGGAAGTGAGCACATTCCCCTTCCCCCGGGCTTGTCTGCACCTTTGAAAGCAGCCGGCAGCGTGCTGCTTTGTTAGGGAATACTACTGAGAAAAACATTTGCTTCTCTAACCTCAAAACCATCATCCCTTGGGAAATCTGGGCCACGCCAGGCCAGTGCAGGACTGTCCTCAGGCCGGGCAGGAGTGGTCCTCATGGAGAACACACCCACATGCTTTGTACACTTTACCGTAGACTGCTCTGTAATTTTTGTTCTTTTCCTTTGGTGGTACTGGGGTTTTGAACTCAAGGCTGTGTTATTTGCCTTTTTAAGGTTTCACTGAGGAAGTGAGACACAAGAGGCTGCATGTGTTTCGAGTGTGGAAAGGGATGAGTTGGGGGCATATCACACACCCGTGAGCCACCGTCACAACCATACCCCTCATGGTTTGATTTTCCCATCCTGCCCCAGGCAGCCACAGATCCGCTTTCTGGCACTATAAATGACTCTGTGCTTCCAAAAATTTTAAATAAACGGAAACTGGACTGGTGTCTTTCACATAATTATGTGTGTGTGTGTGAGTGTGTGTGTGCGCGCGCGTGCGTGTGTGTGTGTGTGTGCGTGCGTGTAATACTGGGCCTTGTGTTAGCTGTGCGGCGTCCTATCACGTCAGCCATGCCTTCAGCCCTCTCTGCTTTCGTTTCTGCTTGTGCCCCACGCCCTGCATTGGGACGATGGGCATTCCACTTGCTCTTTCCCAGTAGCTGGCACTCAAGTCTTTGTGGGTGGAGATGCGGGTCTCACGCACTTTTCTGCAAGGGCTGGTTTCAAACCACAGCCCTCCTGCCTCCCCTCCCAGGTAGCCACCATTACAGCTGTGAGCCACCATGCCCTGCTCAGTTGATGCTTTTTCGCTGCTGTGTGGCAGATTATTGTATGGGTAAAATACAGTTCACTTATTCGCTTGTGAAACACTCCTGACGCGAGTCCTCATGTTGCGCACAGACAGCTGGAGTGGAGTGGCTGGACGGTGGGTCTGAGTGCAATCTTCACGGGAAACAGGCCTCATGGGTACTCCTCGGCGAGAACCCAGCTCCTCCACGCCTAGCTTCCCGATAGTCTACTGGGTATATAGTGCTATCTGGCAGTTCGGATTCACTTCTTCTCAGTGACTTCTTAGTCACTCAAGTCATTCATTTTCATAGGCTTATTTGCTGTTCACATTTTTCTTTAATGAAGTATCCGATCAAACATTTTGCCCATTTTGTCTTGTTTATAGATGTTTATTTTATATTCATATTTAGTTTTGGGAGCTGCCAAAATAGTCTCAAAAATATGTGTTGTGCATGCGTGCACATCTATGTGCACACATGTACCAGTCCTGGGGCTTGAACTCAGGGCCTTGGCACAGTCTCTGAGCTTTTTTGCTCAAGGCTAGTGCTCTAACACTTGATTCACGGCTCCACCTTCGGCTTTTTGGTGGTTAACTGGAGTTAAGTGTCTCAAAGACTTTCTTGCCTGGTCTGGCTTTGAACCTCAATCCTCAGGACTCAGCCTCCCAAGTAGCTAGGATTACAGGTTTCAGCTGCAGGTGCCTGGTTCTCACGAGGCTTTTCTTGTTTCAAGGTAATGCTGGCTTCACAGATGAAATGGAAAAGGGCTTAGTGCCACCCATCTGTGTCTTGGAGAATTTGCCAAGGAAACCATCTGGATTTGTAATTTTCTTTGTAGATAAGTTTTTAGCTCCAAATCCAATTTCTTCAGTCGACAGAGTGCTCTCTCTTCTTGTATGAGTCATCTGTCACCCAGGGCATCTGACTGGGTCAAGGTGGGTCAAGTTCTCACCGAGCTGCTCGTAGTGCCTGCTTCCTGCACAGTCGAAACCGTCAGTGAGGTCTCTGCTCTTGTCCCAGAGGCTCTGGAATTGGAGAATGGAAATCTGTGCCTTCGTTCTGTGTCTCAATCGGGTTTATTCACCCACAGATTTTCCTTCTGCACCAATATCCATTCTACTCTTCATCTTCCCTTTTCTCCTACTACTCCGGGGCCCCTGCTGCTTTTCTTTCGCTAACACCAAAGGCCAGGAACCGGAGGCTCTCTCTTGGCAAACAAGCACACGCAGGGCAGTGCTGACCTGTGTCTGTGAGTCTCACTGTGTTGTGTTTTAGTTTTCATTTGATAAAAGTAATTCAAAATTGTCTCAATATTTCCCTTTGGAAAAAGAACTTATTAACTTCTAATTTTGGACATTTTATGATAAATTTTTTGGCAATTTACAGTGACTTTAGACACATTTTCTAGTGACCTAGAGAAGTCAGATGAGATGGAGGTCAGCAGACACTATGTCCCAGCTGACTTGGCTCCAGGTACTTCTTGCCATTTTCCCTGTGGGTCGTCAGCGTCTGTTTTGGGATACTGTGCCATCATACGCAGTTCACTTCCCATCCACCACCTAGGTGGAGCTGACGGTGGAGGGGTGCGGGCAGGCGCGGCTCTGGGAGGGGCCGCCTGGGACCGAGTCCTCGGAGAGCATTGGGGCTCTGGAAGGCTGTCCATCGCCCAGCCTGCCAGACCAGGTCTCCCAGTGCCTGCTGCCCCTCGGCCTCAGTGCACGATTCTTCCCTCTCTTCTTCCTCTCCTGGCATCTCCTTCTCCTCAGTGTGCTTTGAAGCCAAGATAATCACTGCCACAGCCTCTGGCAGAGCAGCACACAGGGTGCTCCACAGACAAGGGAGCCCACACACCCCGAAGGGTTCCGCCCTTCGGGTCTGCCAGTCTCCGGCGGCCGCAGGAGCACTGAGGCTCACGGCGCCTGTGCTACTGACCCAGCAGCAGCAGACCCAAGGAGTGATTGGGTGGATGGAGCTGGGCTGTGGGCAGCAGTCATGAGCTCCCAAGCCTCGCAGGATGTGAAGAGGGGAAGGCCACAGCTTAACACCACATGGAACTTGCTGGAAATTAGGGCCAAGACAATTATGAGAAGGAAGCACGAGGGAAATGAGGCTCAGGGTGAACCGGAAGCATTTCAAAACTATCCCATCCCCTGGTGGGCTGGCTGTTTAAAATAAACAGGAGCAACAAGCTGGCCCCGCAGCCACAGGCAACTCCAGCCGGGCTGTGGAGCAGCACCTCACTGTCTGAGGATTATGTGTAACTCGTTCAGCATCGTGCGGATGTGAATGGCGAGGCCCTGCTGTCTTCCCGGAGCCCCGTGGAGCGGCTCACGGCGGGCTCTGCCTCTGCGTGCAGCCGGTGGCGGAGGTGGCTGGGACTGCGCCCGGTGCCAGGACCCGTGGCACACTCACTGACAGCACCTGGGGAGGCACCATCGGGACGGGTCACCTGCCTTAGATACGACCACCCCCAGACCACAGATGACGACGGCGCAGAAGGTCAGGCACCGGAGCACTGGAAAAGCTCATCCTCACCAGTCCACGTGCGCTTAGATGTGTGCGGTCCTGTGGCACTGGCGTCATGGCTGACCACCGGCCACGCTGTGTCCGGAATCCTCCTCGTCCTGAACACCCCTCGCCACCTCCCCGGCTGGCTTTGCTTCAGGTGCCTTTCTGGGCAGGTCCAGGGCCAGGTTCTAAGCAACGGTGTGAACAAACACGTGCGTGTGCGGACGCGGACGCCACGCCGCCGGGGAGGGAGAAGCAGCTCCCGAAGGCTCCCGGAGAGAAGCCCTTTGTTCACAGGACTTGGACCCTCAGAATTTGAGTGCCTTTGAGTCACAAAACCAAGCTTTCAGTTTAGCAAGACTGAGTTTTAGACAGGAGGGAGGGACGGCAGGGTGGACGCGAGATGTTTCCGTCGATGGCCTCCCACGTCGTGCTCTGCTGTCTGAAACTCCAGGGACAGAGGCGCGTGCTCTACTGTGGCGGCAAAGCCAGCGATGCCCCGAGGAGCGGGAATGCTTGCTGGAACACACGGGGTGCGGGGGCTCCCGCTCTGTCTGCAGGGTCTGCAGGGAGTGTGGTCGGGGACCCAGGGGCGTGGGCCGGGTTGGGAGTGAGCAAGGGGACATGCGGACAGCCTTGGTGAGGAGCGCGGTGCGGGGGGCCGGGCGAGCGCGGTGCGGGGGGCAGGGCGAGCGCGGCACACAGGGCTGGGCTCAGAACACCTGTGGGCTCATTCTGCGGGAGCGGAGAGCAGGGCAGGTGCATCCCCAGCACAGAGTCCAAGGCCACGGGTGGATGGAGTGTGGCCTCAGCAGTGACAGCAGGGGAGGGGGAATGGGGGGGGAACTGCGCTGCTTCACACGCAGCCCTGCTGGGCACATTTGTACTCGTACGCGCCCTGCCACACAGGCTCACACTCAAGGCTGGTGGAAACCCACCGGAAACACAGACCTGCTTCTCCCAGCTACAGACTCTCCAGCCCTGTTTGCTTAAGAAACAAGCAAAGCAGAAAGCCAGCCCATCCTGTGCCGCCGCCGCCTCTTCTCCATCTCTGTCCTCAGCCGATGGCTCATCTAACAGGCCGAGGAAGCGGCTCTGTGTTTTGCGGCACCCCACGCGAGACCTCTCCTCAACGCATGGCCAGCTCGAAGGCCTTCCAGCACCAACACACCTTTGTTCTGGAACCTGCTCTGAGTCTGCACACCAGCGCTCCCCGCGCCTTGCGGTGCCAGAGCTGGCTCCTCTGCTCTCTGCTCGGCCCTCGGGCCTCTGCCTGCGTTTCTGGCTTCTCTCCAAGATCACTCTGCGGCCTCCCCAGCCACATGGGCCAACTCAGCACCCAGCTGCTCCCCTCCCGCCCCATGCACGAGAACCCCGCCCTGCGCTTGATGTACCCCTACAAGCAGTCCCCTTTGCACCAAGGACACGTTTTTAAAACAGGACTTGGCTTTTATAGCGTCTCTCTCCCCGAACAGTTAATTCCTGTGGCCTTCGAGATACCTGGCCGTCGGGATGGCGGGGGGGCGGAGGAGGGGGGAGCCGGCCCCCTCCACACTACTTGGGGCACACGGGCCGTCCCGTTTCCCGCTCACAGGACAGGCAGAGGTACTCACGCTGTCCACAGCGAGGATCTTGGCCCAGATGAAGACGAGGAGTGGCCGCAGCTCTCGGGCTGAGCTCTGGAGCAGCTTCAGTACGTAGGGGAAGATGCCCACCGACAGGGCCTGGCGGAAAAGGACGGGGTCAGAGGTGCAGCTTTCCTCACAGACTGAGCTACTCTTCCCAGCTTTAGACGTCCTCTCTCCTCCTTCCTTGCTGGCTTATCAATGAACTACTTTGTTGGTATTAATCAAGGATCCAAACACAGAGAGGCAGAGATCCTCGCCTGCCAGCCTCCTGCCCTGTAGCCCGCCCCCCCCCCCCCCCCCCCCCGCCCAGCGCCGTGGTGTCCCCTCCCACCTCCCGGCCCTGCAGCACTCGGTGGCAGACCTGCTGTCAGGTGTTTATTCTTCATCACTTAAAGTGAAGAAAAATAGTTAGTTCATGCAAAATCTTGAATTGTCTCATCTCATAACTATGATTTTCAAACTTTGACTTTTGTGTGTGTGTGTTTTGTTTTTTTGCCAGTCCTGGGGCTTGAACTTGAGGCCTGGGCACTATCCCTGAGTTTCTTTATGCTCAAGGCTAGCGCTCTATCACTTGAGCCACAGTGCTACTTTTGGCCTTTTCTGAATAGTTTATTGGAGCTAAGTTTCATGGACTTTCCTGCCCGGGCTGGCTTTGAACCGCGATCCTCAGATCTCACCCTCCTGAGTAGCTAGGATGGCGGGCATGAGCCACCGGTGCTTGACTCCAAACGTTAACTTTTAAACTACCCCTCCTCCCCCAAACAGGACCACAGGAGGTCAAGTGCGGCCGGCCTCCTCTCGTGTTACACTTCCTCTCTGCCACCTGCACCTCCTTCCTTACGCGTCTGTTGTTTTCTGCCATCTTTTTGTGTCTACTCTTGAGTGAGTGGCCGGGTGCCTCAGCGCTGCGCGTGCCCCACAGCACGGCCAGCCGGTGGCTCTGGCTTCTTGGCAGTGGAGGGAGGGGCTATTCTGACATGCCAGAAATACTTCTAAAAACTAAACTAAACCAAAAACTAGGTAGAAAAATGGGTTAAAAAAAAGCCCAAGACTCCAGGCTCAGGCCCAGCCACGGCCGGGGCTGAAGGGCCGGGGCGGTCAGGCTCAGGCCCAGCCACGGCCGGGGCTGAAGGGCCGGGGCGGTCAGGCTCAGGCCCAGCCACGGCCGGGGCTGAAGGGCCGGGGCGGTCACCCCACACGGTCACACCGTGGCTCATGCCCCCCCAGCCCCCAGGTGAGGGGGAAGCACGCACCAGGCTCACCGCCCAGGGACCCAAGTCCAGAAACCTTCCCAGCAAGTCCAAGGCTCTCAGGCGGTGCACCTGGCTCAGCAGCACCTGGGAAAGACAAGAACCAACCGGCGTCAGAGGAGAGCACACGGGCACGTGCTGAAACACTCCCACAGCCGCCCGCTGCGGGCCTGCGCTCCCCGCTCCCTCCGTCGTCCCTAGCTAATGCTTCCAGACAGGGCAGGAGACATGCAGTACCCCCACCACGCAGGGAGACACAGATGCTCACTGCAGACAGCACTAGAACAAGCCATCTCTTCCTAGTGAGGGAGATAATGCACCGGGGCTGCCTTGCTGGATGAACTTCTAGGTGCATCCCTGACTGATGACCCATCGCCGCCGCCCTCACCGAGGATGGCCTTCAAGGTCATACTGCATCTGGCCACATCATGTCCCACGCCAGCACTGCTTCATTTGCATAAATGGAATTTATGTAAGTCCTTTCCCCCTGCTGGAAATCTGTACTATCATAAACATTTGTTACTGTAAACAATGTTGTTCATATAAACAATGCACATAAAGCTGAGAAATAAAATTTCAAGGTCAGAGCATCTAAACCTACTTTACCAACTGCCCTCGGCTGAGTGGATTCACCCCTTTAACAAGCTGCATAGTGAGCAGCGCTGGCTGAAAGGTGACTTTGGATAACTTCCTCAGTATCGGTGAGACCTCATTTATTTATTTATTTGTTTGTTTATTTATTTTTGGGGTCTGGTTGTGGGGCCTGAACTCTGGGCCTGGGCGCTGTCCCTCAGCTCTTCAGCTCAAGGCTAGTGCTCTACCACTTGAGCCACAGCGCCACTTCCGGCTTTTTTGTTTTTGCTTATGTGGTGCTGAGGAATCGAACCCAGGGCCTCAGGCATGCAAGGCAAGCACTCTACCACTGTGCCACCTTCCCAGCCCCGAGACCTAATTTATTAATTCATAAAGTAAGCATAATGCAACACTTACCCATGGGGTTTAATAAACTTAAGTAACAAAGCTCCTGAGAAAATACTAGCCATATTACACTACTTATAGTCAACATAGTGAAAATACACCTTTTTAGTCTAAAGTTTCTCATTACTAGTGAAGTTCAGTATTTTCTTTCATAATCAACCAACTATTTTTCTCTCTCTTTTTTTTGGTCCATCATAGAGCTTGAACTCTGGGCCTGGGTGCTGTCCCTCAGCTCTTCAGCTCAAGGCTAGTGCTCTACCACTTGAGCTACAGCCCTACTTCTAGTTTTTTGAGTGGTTTATTGGAGATAAGAGTCTCAGGGAATTTCCTGCCCAGGCTGGCTTCGAACCGCGATCCTTACATCTTAGCCTCCTGAGTAGCTAGGATTACAGACGTGAGCCACTGGCGCCCAGTTAATCAACTATTTCTCTAGTAAAATCCTTATTTTTTTTTCTACACAAATGCTTCTTCTTGTTTTTAAGTGAACAGCAATCATTAATAAAGAGCACTCTTGAGCCTGTATCTCATGTGTCCTACCCTTTTCCTATGACACTGAAGCTATGTATTTTTATTTTTATTTTCCAGGGCTGAGGACCGAACCCAGGGCCTTGCGCGCACCGGGTGGGCTAAACCCCCAGCCCCTGAAGCTATGTATTTTTAATGGGGTCATCATGTTGACTCTTCCTTCACAACATCTACACAAGAGGATCTGTACTCAGCCCAGACCTACAGCATTTCATCCTGCCAGCCAAGAGCTTAGCCCTCTGCTGTTAGACCACACACTTATTGGAAATACAACAGCGCACTGAGAGCAAACGAGGTCCTCCTAATGAAGCACTTGCATTGATCTGCAACATCTGTATAAAAGCAGTATAATTTTACTCTGTGAAATCATTCTTCCCTCTCTTTTGTACACTATGGGTCACCTTCATTCTTCTGCTTTGTGTCTTTGCCCACGTGGTACCTGAGGGGAATGCAGATAGTTACAGTGAGTCCTGGCGGGGCCCGCAAAACCAGCAAGCCCAGTGCGCCAGGATGTGGCCAGGCAGTGAGATGGAGCTCATGTGTGTTCACAGGTCTGTGTTCAAGAGCCTACAAGGTAAGCCGACAGAGACCGGAGACCCCAGCGACCCCAGCTGGGAGAAGATGGCAGTTACAAAATCATGAAAGCCAGGCATAGTGGTTCAAGCCTGTAATCCTGGCTGCTTGGGAGGCAGAGATGGGATCATGGGGAAAAGAGGCTCGGGAAACTCCGTCTCCTCAGTGGCTGGTGTGAGGTGATGGCAGGCGCCGGCTGCCTTACCGTGGGGACAAGGGCTGGGCGCAGTGACAAGGCCTGCCATCTCTAGCGACACGGGAAAACACAAACAGGAGGACCACAGCTCCTGTTGGTCTAATCTTGCAATAACCAGTGTAAAAAGGGGCTGGAGGTGTGGCTCAGCCTTTCCAATACAAGGCCCTGCGCAGGCGCTGGCAGCACACACGGAACCGTCAATACACCTTCCTTCTCACCCCCTTGGCGGTAGCAGAGGACACAGTGGCTCACTGGAAAACGTGCACTTCCATGCTGACACTTCTTGCCTGAGAGGCTGCGATCCAGTGGCCTGACAGAACCTCTCACTGGCCCCAGACGGCACCAGCTAGTGCCTCTGCGGCGGTGAGTGGGTGGTGCCAGGGAGACAGAAAATTCGCTTTGGCTCCTGGGGAAAAATAGCAGGGATCTAGGCACTGAGGTCCGTATTAAAATGCTTTTCCTGTAAGTACCACATCTTTATCTGCCAAGGCACCAGAGGATGACTTATAGGTAACAGAGCCCAGGCTTTGTCAGGGGAACTGGCCGGGTGAGGGGGAGGCCAGGCCGCACAGGCCATGCCAAATGAAGCCGGCACTCTTGTGTTTTGTCTTCCCTCAACATTCCCCGGCCTGGGAAAGAGCCCACAATGGCTGCTAGGCGCCGGTGGCACGCACCTGTAACCCCAGCTACTCAGGAAGCTGAGACCTGAGGATTGTGACTCCAAGCCAGCCCAGGCAGAAAAATCCATGAGACTCTTATCTCTAATAAACTACTCAGAAAAAGCCAGAAGTAGCACTGTGGCTCAAGTGGTAGAGTGCTAACTCTAGTACACAAAGAGGCTCAGGGACAGCACCCAGGCCTAGAGTTCAAATCCTAGGGCCAGCCAAAAAAACAAAAAAAAAAAACGAAAAAACAAAAACAAAGAAAGAAAGCCAGCCCTGGTGGTGGTGAAAACCCCGCAGCTGATTATCTGAGAGATCAGACACACAACGCTGGGAGGACGGCCTCTGGAAGTCCGCCCCGCGGGGGTAAGGACTGTGAGTGGAACAGTATTCACAGTAAGGTCAATAAAAGGCCACGTACAGAAGGACAGTCTGATGGAGTCAAAAGAGCTGGACTGGCATGCTTGGCACCGGGCCTGCTTGGAGAGGGGAAACCTCACTCCTCAGCACTGCAGACCTAGGGGAAGGCCGTGGGAGAGCAGTCTCTGCAGACAGACACTCAGGTGAGCCACGGACCGAGAGGGGTGATGGGAGCGGCCCATAGACCCCACCCACAGCCTGCCTGGCCTCTCTGAACGGCCAGCTTTCTTTGCCTCATTGCTGCTAGTGTTGCAGTCTTTTGTCTTGAAACTCTGCTCGTTTGCTGACAGCTCCCCTTGCAATCCCAAGTTGGTCTTTAATCTAGATGTATGTAAGAGGAACAGCAATCATTTTTATGCTCTTCTCATGATGCTAGAAAAGCAGTGGATATAAAAGGCACCAACTGGGCTGGGAAGGTGGCTCAGTGGTAGAGCGCTTGCCTTGCATGCATGAGGCCCTGGGTTCGATTCCTCAGCACCACATAAGCAGAAAAAGCCGGAGATGTGGTAGAGCATTAGCCTTGAGCTGAAGAGCTGAGGGACAGTGCCCAGACCCAGAGTTCAGTCCCCACGACGACCACCACCACCAACAAAAAGGCACCAACTTTTTTCTTTTTAAGAAAAATGGAAGTAGAAAACTGAGAGGATGGGGACAGGGGAGAAGACTTAGGGAAGGGGACATGGATCAGGATGCACCGTCCTCATCCACTGACGTGTAGAACTGAAACCTTGGTACAACTACTAGAAGATTTATTTATTCTGTTACAGACCTGATCAGAAGCCAAGGGAACCGGCTGCTGCTGCACCTCACAGCATGTACATGTGCACTTCCACCCGTCATGGTGTGGGGAGCAGGACCTCAGCTCTGGGCCGGGCCGGCAGGGCCCAGTTTCTAAATGATCTCTCAGGAGCGGGAGCCACTCCGTGAGCAGTTGGTCCAGGGGAGATGGAGGGTGATGTCCCTCACAATGGGGTTAGTGGTCTTAATACCAATGCACGAGCCTTCTTGATAGGAAGTGAGGCGGATGACCTTGAGGCGGTAGGTAAGGAAACTCTACAGAGTCCCCACTCTACAGAGGCCAAGTAACCCAATCAGTGCCAGGACGGCTGCCAGCAGGCGGCACCCCACCTGGAAGGCCCCAGAGGCTGCATTATGCTCACACAGGGGAGGAGCCTTCCCACGTGCCCATGCCAGCCATACCCAATCTGCTAACAAAAGAGCTTCTGGCTGGTGAGGTGTCTCAAGCCTGCAATCTCAGCTACTCAGGAGACAGAGACTGGGAAGAACATGGTTTAATGTCAGTCCAGGCCTAAAGTTCACAGGCCCCCATCTAAGTCAGTAAGTCTTAGGGCAAAGTGCTGACTTGTGTCTACGTGGTGACGTGTGGCTATGTGTTGATGTGTCTATATGGTGATGTGTGTCTATGTGTTAACGTGTGTCTATGTGGTGACATGTGTCTTTATGGTGACGTGTGTCTACGTGGTGACGTGTGTCTATGTGGTGACGTGTGTCTATGTGGTGATGTGTGTCTATGTGGTGATGTGTGTCTATGTGGTGATGTGTGTCTATGTGGTGATGTGTCTATGTGGTGACGTGCGTCTATGTGGTGACGTGCGTCTATGTGGTGACGTGTGTCTATGTGGTGACGTGTGTCTATGTGGTGATGTGTGTCTATGTGGTGACGTGTGTCTATGTGGTGATGTGTGTCTATGTGGTGACGTGTGTCTATGTGGTGATGTGTGTCTATGTGGTGATGTGTGTCTATGTGGTGATGTGTCTATGTGGTGATGTGTGTCTATGTGGTGATGTGTGTCTATGTGGTGATGTGTCTATGTGGTGACGTGTGTCTATGTGGTGACGTGTGTCTATGTGGTGATGTGTGTCTATGTGGTGATGTGTGTCTATGTGGTGACGTGTGTCTATGTGGTGACGTGTGTCTATGTGGTGATGTGTCTATGTGGTGACGTGTGTCTATGTGGTGATGTGTGTCTATGTGGTGATGTGTCTTTGTGGTGACGTGTGTCTATGTGGTGATGTGTGTCTATGTGATGTGTGTCTATGTGGTGATGTGTGTCTATGTGGTGATGTGTCTATGTGGTGATGTGTGTCTATGTGGTGACTTGTGTCTATCTGGTGATGTGTCTATGTGGTGATGTGTGTCTATGTGGTGACGTGTGTCTATGTGGTGATGTGTGTCTATGTGGTGACGTGTGTCTATGTGGTGACGTGCGTCTATGTGGTGATGCGTGTCTATGTGGTGATGTGTGTCTATGTGGTGATGTGTCTGTGGTGATGTGTCTGTGGTGATGTGTGTCTATGTGGTGACGTGTGTCTATGTGGTGATGTGTGTCTATGTGGTGACGTGTGTCTGTGGTGACGTGTGTCTATGTGGTGACGTGTGTCTATGTGGTGACGTGTGTCTATGTGGTGACGTGTGTCTACGTGGTGACGTGTGTCTACGTGGTGACGTGTCTATGTGGTGATGTGCGTCTATGTGGTGACGTGTGTCTATGTGGTGACGTGTATCTATGTGGTGATGTGTGTCTATGTGGTGATGTGTGTCTATGTGGTGATGTGCGTCTATGTGGTGATGTGCGTCTATGTCGTGATGTGTGTCTATGTGATGTGTGTCTATGTGGTGATGTGTGTCTATGTGGTGACGTGTATCTATGTGGTGATGTGTGTCTATGTGGTGACGTGTGTCTATGTGGTGACGTGTGTCTGTGGTGATGTGTGTCTATGTGGTGATGTGTGTCTATGTGGTGATGTGCGTCTATATGGTGATGTGTGTCTATGTGATGTGTGTCTATGTGGTGACGTGTGTCTATGTGGTGACGTGTGTCTATGTGGTGACGTGTGTCTATGTGGTGACGTGTGTCTATGTGATGTGTGTCTATGTGGTGACGTGTGTCTACGTGGTGACGTGTGTCTATGTGGTGACGTGTGTCTATGTGGTGATGTGTCTATGTGGTGACGTGTGTCTATGTGGTGATGTGTCTATGTGGTGATGTGCGTCTATGTGGTGATGTGTGTCTATGTGGTGATGTGTGTCTATGTGGTGATGTGTCTATGTGGTGATGTGCGTCTATGTGGTGATGTGTGTCTATGTGATGTGTGTCTATGTGGTGATGTGTGTCTATGTGGTGATGTGTGTCTATGTGGTGATGTGTCTATGTGGTGATGTGCGTCTATGTGGTGATGTGTGTCTATGTGGTGATGTGTGTCTATGTGGTGATGTGTGTCTATGTGGTGACGTGTGTCTATGTGGTGACGTGTGTCTATGTGGTGACGTGTGTCTATGTGGTGACGTGTGTCTATGTGGTGATGTGTCTGTGGTGATGTGTGTCTATGTGGTGATGTGTGTCTATGTGGTGATGTGTCTATGTGGTGATGTGTCTATGTGGTAATGTGTCTGTGGTGATGTGTGTCTATGTGGTGATGTGTGTCTATGTGGTGATGTGTGTCTATGTGGTGATGTGTGTCTATGTGGTGATGTGTGTCTATGTGGTGATGTGTCTATGTGGTGATGTGTGTCTATGTGATGTGTGTCTATGTGGTGATGTGTGTCTATGTGGTGATGTGTGTCTATGTGGTGATGTGTGTCTATGTGGTGATGTGTCTATGTGGTGATGTGTGTCTATGTGGTGATGTGTGTCTATGTGGTGATGTGTGTCTATGTGGTGATGTGCGTCTATGTGATGTGTGTCTATGTGGTGACGTGTGTCTATGTGGTGACGTGTGTCTATGTGGTGATGTGTCTGTGGTGATGTGTGTCTATGTGGTGATGTGCGTCTATGTGGTGATGTGTGTCTATGTGATGTGTGTCTATGTGGTGACGTGTATCTATGTGGTGATGTGTGTCTATGTGGTGACGTGTGTCTATGTGGTGACGTGTGTCTGTGGTGATGTGTGTCTATGTGGTGATGTGTGTCTATGTGGTGATGTGCGTCTATATGGTGATGTGTGTCTATGTGATGTGTGTCTATGTGGTGATGTGTGTCTATGTGGTGACGTGTGTCTATGTGGTGACGTGTGTCTACGTGGTGACGTGTGTCTACGTGGTGACGTGTGTCTACGTGGTGACGTGTGTCTATGTGGTGACGTGTGTCTATGTGGTGATGTGTCTATGTGGTGACGTGTGTCTATGTGATGTGTGTCTATGTGGTGATGTGTGTCTATGTGGTGATGTGTGTCTATGTGGTGACGTGCGTCTATGTGGTGAAGTGCGTCTATGTGGTGACGTGCGTCTATGTGGTGATTTGTCTATGTGGTGACGTGTGTCTATGTGATGTGTGTCTATGTGGTGATGTGTGTCTATGTGGTGACGTGCGTCTATGTGGTGACGTGTGTCTATTTGGTGATGTGTCTATGTGGTGACGTGTCTATGTGGTGACGTGTGTCTATGTGGTGACGTGTGTCTATGTGGTGATGTGTGTCTATGTGGTGATGTGTGTCTATGTGGTGATGTGTGTCTATGTGGTGATGTGTGTCTATGTGACGTGTGTCTATGTGGTGACGTGTGTCTATGTGGTGACGTGTGTCTATGTGGTGATGTGTGTCTATGTGGTGATGTGTGTCTATGTGGTGATGTGTGTCTATGTGGTGATGTGTGTCTATGTGACGTGTGTCTATGTGGTGACGTGTGTCTATGTGGTGATGTGTGTCTATGTGGTGATGCGTGTCTATGTGGTGATGCGTGTCTATGTGGTGATGCGTGTCTATGAGGTGACGTGTGTCTATGTGGTGACGTGTGTCTATGTGGTGATGTGTGTCTATGTGGTGACGTGAGTCTATGTGGTGATGTGTCTATGTGGTGATGTGTGTCTATGTGGTGATGTGTGTCTATGTGGTGACGTGAGTCTATGTGGTGATGTGTGTCTATGTGGTGATGTGTCTATGTGGTGATGTGTGTCTATGTGGTGACGGGTGTCTATGTGGTGACGTGTGTCTATGTGGTAACGTGTGTGTATATGGTGACGTGTGTCTATGTGGTGATGTGTGTCTATGTGGTGACGTGTCTTTGTGGTGATGTGTGTCTACATGGTGACGTGCGTCTATGGGTGACGTGCGTCTATGGGTGACGTGCGTCTTTGTGATGGCGTGTGGCTATGACCCTGGCTACTTGGGAGGCATAGGAGGATCACAGTCTAGGTTTTGCCCCGAGTGATTCTTTTCAGATAGAGTCTATCTGAAAAGAGCCTTTTCTATTTGTCCTTGATTATTCTTCATTATCAAGGACAAAGAGAAAGAGGCTCAAATGGTAGAGTGCTTGCCTGCCAAGCACTCTCTCAGAACTGCAAAAAGCAAAGCAGGACAAACACCAGCAACGCTTTTCTGGCTTCTGAAGTGAGTTGTCAGACTCTGGGGCCTATGTGTGGCGGCGGCTCCAAAACCAGGCCACTGTCCCAGCATAAACCGGCTTTTCTTGGTCATGACTCCAAACTTCATTAAGTTCACACAACTCCCCACAAACACACACTCACTGAAACAAACACTGGTGACTGATTATCTGTGATAAGCCCTGCCACCCCTAAAGCCACTAAAGGATCAGCGGACAGGACACACACAACTGGTCTCCAAACCACAACTACGCCACGGTTTGCATGTGACGGGGCACACCCACAGGGGCCTGTGCCTTTTCTTTTCTTTTCAGACGTGGGGCTTGAACTCAGGGCCTCGGTGCTATCTCTGGACTCTTTCACTTAAGGCTGGCACTCCACTTTATGCCACAGCACCACTTCTGGTTTTCTGGTGGTTAAATGGAGATAAGAGTCTCATGGCCTTTCCTGCCCCGGCTGGCTTTGAACTGCAATCCTCAGATCTCAGCCTCCTGAGTAGCTAGGATGACAGGCGTGAGCCACCAGTGCCGGTGTGCCTATGTTTTAAAGTGACATGATGACAAGCCCGCCACACCCAGAAAGGGCTGATGCACAGGCGGCTCTGGCAGTAACCCCCAGGTGCTGGTTAGGAAACCCTCTGTGACCCATTCATAATCTGCTCAGCACCGCTTGTTCTGCTCTGGGGGGTAGTTTGCATCTGTGTCCCTGCGCAGAGGGGACCATGGTATTATTAGTATGAAGTTGGCTGGCGGCAGGCTTCAACAGTTCCTGATGTGTAAGCAGGAGCGGTGGGGAAGGGCAGAGGAAGGGAATTCGATACTTTACCAGGAAAGCCCAGTGACATTTTTTCTTTTCTTGGTCTCTCATGGGGCTTGAACAGGTGCTGTCCCTGAACTCTTCAGCTCAAGGCTAGCACTCTACCGCTTGAGCCACAGCACCATTTCTGGTTTTCTGGTGGTTCATTGGAGATAAGAGTCTTACGGACTTTCCTGCCCAGGCTGGCTTTGAACTGTGATCCTCAGATCTCGGTCTCCTGAGTAGCTATTATTACAGGAGTGAGCCACTGGCATCCGGCCCCAGTGATTTCTGATTGGACTGGTGGGTTGTGTTTACCATTGGGCCCCACAGGGAGCAGAGGAGCGGCTGGGGGTCCACAGACCTCAGGGCGCATGCAGGCAGCCTCAGGTGAACCAGCCTCACTGGGATCCTCGTTTTGGCCTCTTTCTATGGATGCCTCAGCCAACCGGGCCTTGGCTGCAGCAACTCACCTGTAAAACGATGGGAAGTTGCTCCGGGGGGCTTCTGTTCTCCACGCCCATGGTGAGCCACACCTGGAAGGCAGTCAGCTGCTCCGCAAAGAACGGGCTGTGCTGTGAGATAAGCAGGAGCCGATTAGGGCCACACGAGGGCAGAGGGGTCCCACGCTCTGTGACTGGGCAGAGCCGGAGGCTTTGTCAACAGCGAGGGTGCGAGAAAGGAAGAGGGTGGCCCTGAGGCCTGTGGCCTGGGCACTGGGACAGTGGGCCGCGGTTGGTGGGCAAGGGGCAGAAGCAGCCTGGGGGGAAGATGCCAGCTCAGGCATCGCGTCCGTGGTGCACGGTGCATCTGAGCGGAAATGCACCTGCCATCCGAGCAGGGATGTCAATCATGGCACACGGATTTTTTTTTCTTTCTGAGACAGGCCCTCACCATGCAGCCAGGCTAGTCTGGGACTCTCAATCCGCCTGTCTCAGCCTCCTGAGTGCTCGAATTACAGGTGTGTGCCACCATGCCCAGCCAGATCATCTTGTAAATTGTCTAAGTTTGTGTTTGTTGTTAGCACACACTGCTTGTACAGGGGAGGAGCGCGTCACATTTCCATACATGCGACGATCAAACTCATCCCCTTACTCTCCCTTATCCTTCCTTTTCTTCTTCTTCTTTTTTTTTTTTTTGGGTCCAGTCGTGGGGCCTGAACTCTGGGCGTGGGCGCTGTCCCTCAGCTCTTCAGCTCAAGGCTAGTGCTCTACCACTTGAGCTACAGCTCCACTTCCAGCTTTTTTCTTTTTGCTTATGTGGTGCTGGGGAATTGAACCCAGGGCCTCAGGCATGCAAGGCAAGCGCTCTACCACTGAGCCACCTTCCCAGCCCCTTCCCTTTCTTCTTAAAGAAATTCCAACAGGTCTTACTGTTCTATTTTCACATGTACAATAACATAATTAGGCCACATTCACTTGCATTCATCCTCTCCATCCACCCTCCCGATCCCATTCACACCTACCCAAGGCTTCACTTTTTACATCGCATGAGAAATAGAGGGAACCTGGGCCTGAGCCAGGCCCCGCCACACAGAGGCTGAGGGCCAGTGAAAGGCAGGCAGGAGGTGTGGTGCCCGGAGCAGGGAGGGCTGCAGGGGGAGCAGCACCGAATGCCCCGATGGTGAGGGAAGACCAGGATGACTCTGGCCATCAAGAGCAGACGCATGGCTGGGATGAGGCCAGAACAGAAGAGGGAACGTGGAGCCGCCTCTTTGGGAGGTGGCTGCCAGAGGAGAGACACGTAGGGGGGTGGATGGAGAAAGTGGGCTAGGAAATGCATTTCAGATCAGGAGGACAGCAGCATGTATGTGAGCGCGTAAGAGGGAGGTGCACAGACCTGGAGGGGCTGGCGCTGCTGGATGGGGCAAAGCCCGGGGCGTCCTGCAGGGAGGGGGAGAGCAGGAGGGCGGGGCAGGCAGCAGGAGGAGACCAGGGAGTCAGGGAGTGCGTGTGCGTGGGGTCAGGCTCGGGGTGGAAGGAGTGGCTTGGGGGGGTGAATGACTGGGGCGGCAGGCTCAGGGCTGTGCTGGCAGCACACAAGAGCATGGAAGCGTTTGGGGAGCACTGGAGGCCAGCAGTGCGCCCTCAGCTGCATGCCAGGCCTGGCACCCCTTCAAAGGCGTGGGTTCAGGAGGAGGAGCAGAAAAAGATGTGCAGGCCTTCCACCTTCAGAGCAGGGCAATTCCGGGCTGAGCTTAAACATGTCCATGACATGGGCACAGGTGGAGGCCACCCACCAGGGCACAGCTGTGCATCCAACTCCCAACTCGCCTTCCACAGAGCACCCACCGGGTGCCCAGAGCCCCACGGCGCCCAGCCAGGGCTGGGGAATGCAGTGGAGCTCTCGCTTAGGAGGGCCTGCCCTGGTGACGTCAGCTGTCATAAAAGAAAGACGCGCTGTCAAGCTCCAGCCCCCACACGCAATGCTGCCGTCTTCAAGTGAGAATTACTCAAAATTGGTTAAAAAAAAAAAATCTCATCAAGTGCCCCTCCTCCACATCCCGTAAGAACAGTTACACCAACTTAGAAAAACCTCCAGTCAGTCAGTGATAATTAGGCCTCTTCTCTTCCTGTCCAATTAGTTTTTGCGTATCGATTTTCATGTGCTGGTCACTGCTGAGAAGGCAAGCCTGCCTGATCTTTTCACCTAAAATGGACAAGAAAAGCAAAGCATCCCTTTGCTTTGAGGTTTGTCAGGTGTCCGAAAGCTGGGGAGTAGACAAATGGGGGTCACTGCCCAGCACACGAGCAGCTGCCCGGACCAGGCACACCCACGCTGCTCTGAGAGCCGCCCCGGGTGGCATGCATGAGGGCTCGCGCTGGCCCTGGGCACGGCAGGAAGGGGTGCTCCGCGGACAGCTCGCTGGCGCCCGCCTGCTCTCCCAGGATGATTCTGATGCCGGCCATTCTGCTCTGCGGTCATCTCAGGCGTCAGATGACCTGGTGTCAACAACGGGTGCTCACGGGCAAGACAGTGAAAGAGGAAGGCTGCTGGGAGCCTCAGAGCCCTGCTCAACAGCGGGAGTGAATCCGGCAGGGCTTCTGCGCTGGCCGTGGTGTCACCCGCTAGGATGGCTGGGTGGATGGTCCCGGCATGGTGTGGGGTGCTGCTGCCTGACAATGAGTCAGCAGTGACCCGCCCGGTGCCCACAGCGGTGTGGGCCTCCTGCTCCCCGTGTGTCCACAGCATGCAGATGACTTAATTGAATTGGCTGTTCCAGACCCTCTATACCTTTCTCCTTAACTCCATAAACACCAACTAGATCTTTGGTTCCTGGTTAGAAATCTGTCCTTACTGACTTTGGAAAAGCGAGATATATACTAGGCTTTTTGCGTGCCTGTAAAAGTAAGTTTTGGTGCTGGTGGCTCACGCCTGTCATCCTAGCTACTCAGGAGGCTGAGATCTGAGGATCGCGGTTCAAAGCCAGCCCGGGCAGGAGAGACCGTGAGACTCCCATCTCCAATAAACCACCAGAAAACCGGCAGTGGTGCTGGGGCTCAAGTGGCAGAGCACTAGCCTTGAGCTGAAGAGCAGAGGGACAGCACCCAGGCCCAGAGTTCAAGCCCCACGACCGACATTTAAAAAAAAAAAAAAAAGTACATTTTAAGATGAGGCCAGTAAATTATGAGTAAAATATCAGAATAAAGAAGTTTGGAAAGTTGCTATAAAATCACTTGCAAACAATACAGATAAAGGAAAAAATCCAGAAAATGAAATCTGTGGGAAAACTGGTCCACTAGGTTTGACGCGATTGTTGCCATTTTGGGGCAGGGGCTGCTGCAGTGACCTACCGGAGGCCGCAGCGGGAGGCCCGCAGCCCGGGAGGAGCACAAAGGAAGCAGACATCCAGCTGGTGGGCCAGAGACCCCGAGACTGTCAACATTCCTTCCAGGGAACAGCGCAGCCTTCCTAGGACATCAATCACTACTCCTTCCCTGCCAGCCCTTAGATTAAAACCAAAACCAAACAAGCAAACACGCATGATCTGTGAGTAACCCTGTGAGTAACAACTCCTCCACTCAGAGATGGATTAGTCTGAGTGGTTCTTTGGGCTACAGTCTCGTCTGGTTTCAGAGGAAGGTGCTTCTTCCACGTCTCCCAGGGACATTCACATTCATACAGCGAAGTTTGCAGGCAAAGACTCAATATTACAAAGATGCTGCTGATGTCTCCGCTCATGTGGATTCATGGTAATCTCAACCCAAGTCCCAGCATGCTCTCCGCAGGAATCCAACAAGCTGATCATAAAATCCATATGAAAATCCGAAGGCCCCAAGGCAGCCAAGGCAATCTTAGACAGGAACAAAGCCAGAGGCCCCTGGGCTGCAGCGGAGGGTCTGTGACAGCATGGGGCTGGTGCAGGGACAAGGGAAGGACAATGGCCTACGGACAGAGAAGAGCAGTGGCAGGCCCTCACACAGGCACCGCCAGGTCCAAGGCAGCGGCGCCACCGAACCGGACATTACGCTGGAGCGGACGCTCTGGGCCCACCGCACACCACGCAGGACACTGGCAGCGAGCAGCTCCTCAGGGCGTTTACCTGGGCGTTTGCAGTATGGCTGCAAAGACGGCATCAAAGGCCCTCACCCTAAAAGCAAAAAAGCTGATTTCTGTTCACTAAAAGTGTGAGGAAGTGAAAAGGGTGAACAAATGCAGCAGTGGTAGCAGACACTGTGGAAAATGAACTGCACAACTCGTGGCAGGAGTGGAGGGAAAAGCTAGGAGAGTGAGGGGTGGCGACACTATCTGAAAAGAAATGTGTTTTCCTGACTCACTGTAACCCCTGGACACCACCCTCGCAACAATAAGAAGGGGAGAAGCAAGCCCCAGAGTAGGCAAAGACACTCAGCGCATGGGGCAAAGGGACAAGGGACCAAGGGTCGATACGCAGACACGCCACAGCACACAAGGCTAGGGCAGACACAGGGCTCGAGCACCCGACCCACAGGAGATCACCCGTGGGGGGAGGCGTGAGAGTGGATGTCCCCCGTGGAGCACTGTCTAGAAATGTGGGTAGCCCCAGTAGAACCAGGGGTCAGGGGTCAGGGGAATGAGGCATTTTTTTAGCAGGCGCAAACTTTGGGGAGTAGGGAGTGACAAAAATATTCAAATGCATTCCGCAGCGAATAATTATTATTTCAAATTGAGATAGGCCGAGTGAATGATTCTGCTTTTAGTCTCAGGCTCTAATATGCTTGGGCCAAAGGCAGCCAGCTCTGATTGACTGTGAACACCTCAAACAGAAAACTCAAAACACCCACTGAGCCAGGTACCAGTGGCTTACACCTGTGATCCCAGCTCCTCGGGAGGCTGAGATTGGGAGGCCTGTGCTTTGAGGCCAGCCAAGGCAGAAAAGTTTACAAGACCCTTTCGTACCTGAGAGCCTGGCATCATCATCCTAGTTACTACCTAACATGGAGCTTAGGCCCCATCTCAGAAATGATCAGTACAGGACTGGAAGGTGGCTCAGTGGTAGAGTGCTTGCCTTGCATGCATGAAGCCCTGGGTTCCATTCCTTAGTATCATGTAAACAAAGAAAGCTGGGAGTGGTGCTGTGGCTCAAGTGGTAGAGTGCTAGCTTTGAGCCAAAGAAGCTCAGGGACAGTGCTCAGGTCCTGAGTTCAGGCTCAGGACTGGTCAAAAAATAAAAGACCAGTACAGAGGCATGCCTTAGGGACCTCACAAGGAGAAGGCCCTGAGTTCAGGCTCCACAGTAACCTCTACTGGCTGTGGATCTGACGGTTGGGTTTGGGAGCCCGGAGCCGATGGGATGTCGAGTGAGGGCAAGGGGCATGGAGCTCGCACTCCGAAGGTCCATGAGTCCCGGTGTGGAGAGGCAGGTGAGGGGCCTGGCAGGCTGGCTGCTGCTCAGCCCCGGTCCTGATCGCCTGCACGTGTGGACGGGCAAAACCTCGCCAAGCTCATTTATAATTGCGTGTCATTTTTCTTATTATGTTATACTTCCAAAAAGAGCAAAGAAAAAAAGCTGTAGGGGTCCACACAGGGCTCTTTCCTTCGCCGACACCCCACCCCAATTTGACCGCTGCCCAGACACAATGCAGATGGTCTTTGAGCACTTGGTGCGCGCAGGGCAGGTTGCTATCTCACGGAGAGCACGGGCTCTGGGAAGCGCAGACCCCGGGCTTGGGAGGCCTTCCAGATGGGCCTGCGGCAGCAGGCCCCGCCCTTCCTCGGAGAGAGCCCAGTGTGTGGGGTGGAAGGTGAGTGGGCAGCCGGCATGGCGTCTGGCCTGCGTCACTGCCGCCCTCCCCGGTGCTCTACGGCTCTGCGATGGACGTCTCCCTGCCCCAAAATGTAGGGGAGACAAGGGGAACCGAGGGAAGAGCACCTAGTGCCCCTTCAAGGCAGAGTCGGGCAGCCTGCAATGTGCGCACAAATCCACGAGAACATCTCCCTTTAGAGGGCATGGTGGCTCACGCTTGTCGTCCCAGCTACCTGGGCGGCTCATATTGGGAGGACCACATTTTGAAGCTAGCGCGGGCAAATGAAACCCTATCCGAGCCCACAGCTAGATGGGTGCGGTGGTGCACGCCTGCCACCCCAGCTCTGCCAGGGCAGGAAGCGAGGCTCCATTGGTGGTGGTGGTATGCTGGAGGGGGGAGCGAAAAGGTCTGAGTGTTGCTCAGGTGGTAGGATGCCTACCCAGCACACACGAGGCCCTAAGTTCAATCCTTGCTGACATGCATGCACGCGTGCGTACGTACGTACACACACACGCACACACACACACACACGCACACACCCTACCCCACTCCCCACCAAAAGGGGAGAAATAAAACAGAAAAAAGTTTCACCATTCAAGTGAGGCAGAGGCCCAGGGAGGCTGTCCCACCCGCCCGCGGCGCTCCGCTTCTGCAAGAATCGCCCCGCCCCCACCCACCAGCGCCGTCTGCACCAAGAACAACTCAAACACACACTGCCCCTTTCAGTCTAGCCTGAACACCGGCTGACCCGGTCTCTACTCTGGTTAGTTCCAGTCTCTTCCAGGTGAGTGAACCATGCCTGCACCACCCCAGAGCCCCAGGAAGGGAAGAGGGGACTCACCCTGAACGCAGTGCCTTCCTCGATGATGGTGGGCAGCTGGGAGAGGCAAATGTCCACCGCGAGGTCCCAGGCCTGCCTGGGGAGAGAACACAGGGCACCCCTGCATGAGTGAGCAGCTTTGGAGCAGGGGTTTTGCGGGGAGAGGAACCCCGAACGGCACGCGGCAGGATCTGTGGAGGCCCTGGAGCGAGGTCCAGCTCTGCCAGAGCCACCAGAGTTGAGTCAGTTGGAGCCAGGTCCCTGCATGGGCACTGCTGGTGCTGTGGCCTCACACCTGGCGCGTCGCATCCATTCTCTCTACAACGAAGCAAGAAAGGCCAAGGAGCCTGGCCTCCCTCCACGGCGGGTCCCAGCTCCCTGCGTGCAGCGCCCAGGCCGGGGAAGCCTTTGGGATGTTTGAGGCAGAGACAGACCCTGTGTCACCAGCCTCCCAGCACGAGGACACCATGGGCATGGGCTGCGTGGGCAGCACGGGGCAGTGTGAAGTCAGGCCACGGTCCCAAGCGGACAGACACCACAGCCAGCTCCAACCTCAAGCCAGTCCCCAGGCTGCCTTCTCCAGACACTCAGACATTGCAAGATGGTTTGTGCAGCGTCATACACGCATCCTTGCGTAACCGGGGAGCAGACTCGATGGCTGGCCGCGGGCTGGCCGCTCTTACATAAGGCTCTGTGCCAGCTCGCTTCGGCCAGAGGTCTGAGGGAGGGGCAGAGCAGGGCAGGGCAGGGAGGCTGGCTCCCAGGGCTAAAGCCACACAGGTAGGCCTCAACAAGGGACCCCAGAAATGACAGGCAACGGCTGGTCACCTGTCAGAGCGCACCACTACACAGGCAGACAACCCCACTTCCTGCTGCGACCCCTGGCCCCGTGGCTCTGCAAGGCCCCGGCAGCAGGGCGGGCAGGTGGCAGGGCACCAGGGCCATGCCTTCTCCGCCACGCTGCCAGCCTCCCTCGCCGCAGCCGGGGGCAGGAGGGGGTGGGGGAGGAAGGGGAACACCCCTTTCCCACCTTGCAGAGCCCCCCACAGGGAATGTGCTCTCCACTAGCAGATGCGGCCGTGGCCTAGGCAGCCCTCCCACTGCTCACGGACGCATGCTCCCAACCCCACCCCGGGACCCGCCAGTGTATCTGAGCTACCGGCACTCTCAGGCTGCAGCGGGGGCTGGTGGGAGGCCCCCTGTACTGGCTGAGGTCCGACTGCGCTCACCCCGCTGCCTTCCTGCGATGCCCGCAGCACTGCGCCCCCACCGGGCGCCCAGGTCCGGGTCCGGCAGTCCCAGCGGCCCGCGCACAGGGACAGACCCAGTCACCAGCAAACGCTTGCGGAAGGAGAATGAAGAAAGAAGGGAAGTCGCTCCCTCCTCCGGCGCTCAGAGCAACCGCTCGCAGGGTTGGAGGGAAGGAGAGCACCCCACACCCAGCTCCAGGCCCTGCGCTCCGGGCTCTTCTCTGAGCACTAGGTGACCATTTGGGGGATGCTCCCCGGGGACTACCCGGCAGGACTGCGGGCTGCAGCCTGCTCAGGGCCAGCTTCACCACAGCAGAAGTGGGAAGTGGCGGTGCCTGTCGTGGGGTCCTTGTGAGACCCTGGGGGAGGCAAAGGCTTGGTGGGGCCTCAGGTACAGAGAGCAGCTCTGGCCGGCCCGGCCACCCCAGCACTCAACATGAATTCTCAAGGAGGAGCTTCCTGTCTGCACAGGTGCCGATCCGGAGGCACCAATCCCCACACCGCGGCTCCTGGCCTGGCCCTCCCTTCTTTGAGAAATACGCTCCTAGAAACGCAGCATGATGATCAGCACAACGGAGTCCGTTTCTGGAATGGCAGTCTCTTCTCGCTAGTAATTTCCTGAGACTCAGAGTTCCCTGTGATTTTTATTTAGACTAATAAGACTGCACGCTGGCAGGTAAAAGGGCACATTTTCTCTATGTCTTAATAAAGGACCAAAACAAGAATGGAAAAAATTTAAATCCAGAAGGAAAGCAAGGAACTGAAGCGCTGGGTAAACAGATCAAGATGCACCGCACTTACAAACTCATTTGTTGAATGCCAACTCCTTTGTACAACTATTTAAGTAGAAATATAATCTTTAAAAGTGAGATAAAGCCTAAAGCTGGACACAGAACTTTTCAGTTTCAAAGATCTGACCGGCCCCAGAGCGGAGGCCAGAGGAGGAACTATCTAGAAGGGGCTCCAAACACAGGCGGTAAACAGCTCCCATGTGCTGTGCCCTCTGACCTCCTGCAGGAGGAGGGTGCTCTGCTCTACTACGTGGAGACAGAAGCAAAAGACGACACTGCAATTCGGCTGAGGGTGCCTGGAACTTTATCTATTTCAGGAGTTAGAATAGCATGTACAACTTCGAGAAGAGTGCAGCACAAGTTTGGGCAGCTGGAACCCAGGGTGCCCTCCAGATGGCACTGCCCAGGCCGGGCCCCTTTGGGTCTGTTCGTGAAGGTAAAGCGTATGTATATTTCTTCTTACAGCTCAGAACTGAAATGTCTAGCATGTCCTCCAAGTCAGGAAATGGAAAGAGCCCTTTTGTAAGGCTCCGGCAGTTCTGAGGTCCTAGAGCTCACGCGAGCCTGATTCCCACCCAGGGAGGACTTGAACCCCCGCCCCCACGTTTCCTGCATCAGAGCAGCTCAGAGGCTCTGCGCTCTGGAGGCGGAGGGATGGGTGGGGACGTGGAGAGCGGGCACTGGGGCTGGCGCACAGAGGTGAGCAGAGGGCTGCAGAGGCTGAGGAGATCAGGCTGGCTGCCAACATCTAAGACAAAGTCCGCCCAGTGCCCGTTCCTCACGTGGAGAGCCCGGGGATGGAGAGCTGGGCACCCTGGGGAGGGTCAGACCCCTTCTCTGTTCCCATCAAACTCCCAAATGGTGCCAATACTGTTCTCGCAGAACTTAGCTCTCTGATGAGCACAGAATCAGACAAAATCCTATCAAACTTGCAGTTTTAATTTGGGATTCTCAGCTATAGATGAGTGGGAAGGCAGGTCCTATAAAAGCTGGAGCCGCGGGCAGTGGCGGTGGGCCACTGCAGCCACCAGTTCTTCCATTTGGCACCCAGGAGGGAGCGGGAGCTGGGGTGGGAGGTGTTGGCGGCGGCAGAGGCGGCAGCAGCGCGGCGCGTGGGGGAGGGTCTGGCCGCGCGGGTCTGTGGCGCAGGGGACTTTCTCAGCTTCTGGCTGCTTGGATGAGTCACTGCCTGGAAGAGCGGGTTTTTAGGAAGCGGGCCTAGGGTGGCAGGCGCCCAGGCGGTGGGCTGCAGGAAAGCCTCCCCGCTTGCAACTCCATCTGCACCCATCAATCAGAGTGGAAAGTGCAGGTTATTACCGCAGAGAAATGCCAGGTTCCAGGACCCCTGAAATTGAGAGTGAAGGGGAACGACTCCCTGATGGCTTTGCATCAAAAATTAAACACGAAACGGCGCAGAGCATTTCATCACCAGCTCCCCCGCCTGGAGCCAAGTGTAAATGTACATTACTTAGGCTTTAACCTCAATTTTTGTTAGGCTTTCTTCCCTTTCCCCCTCCTGCTAAAAATTCAGCCTCTCCATCACCACCCAAGGATATAATAACTAGATTTTCAATTATTTATTCCAAACGCTCTTTCCTGCCTACCGTTCCGTGAGCTCCCTGGGGAGGTGCGGGCTGCAGTCTGGGTGTGTGCAAGTCCTGGCCACTGTGTGCCGAGTTCCGCAACCCAGAGCGGCAGACAACCTGCTGGGAGCCCGCTGCTCATCTTCCAGGGCCAGCGCCTGCTCCAGGCCAGGCTCTGAGCCTCAAGCCAGAGAGCAGAGGCCTCTGTCCCCCTGTGCATGCAGGTCCCCTTCTCCCTCCTTTCAGGGGTGAGATTGTGGGCTGGGACATGCCTCTCAAGATGGTCACATTCCCAGGTCCCTAGGAGATGTCACCAAGGGCTATGGGTGGCGATGAGCCTGCACTAGGGGGCCTTCCCACAACCTGAAATGTGGCTCTGGTGCCTGAGCCAGGTGGCCGCAGGGGACGCTCAGCATAACACAGGCAGCCTGGGATGTGGAGACTGTGGCCCCATCCAGCCTAGGGCAGACAAGATGGAAGAGAAAGGGCCATTTACAGAGCCTAACAACTAGCTATAGTTTAACTAAGACACCCAATTCCGTTCGCAGGAATGCATGCATTTGGCAACAAGTTTTCCATAACCAGTGTGTCTCTGCAAGCGGAGTCTGTACACTATCTGTGGAGGGCGCTGGCACTTACTCCAGGGACCAAGGTCCTTCTCTTCTCTGATTTAGCACAAAAATGTCATGGCCAGGGTGCCCTGGCTCATGCAAAAATTGGGAGGATCTTAGTTCCACAAACCCCAGCACAAAGTTCACAAGCCTCCCATCTCCACAGAGAAAGCCGGCATGGTGGTGTGGGCCTCCCATCCCCATAATGGCAGGAAGCACCGGTAAGAGGACCATGGACCCATCTGCTTGGGTCAAAGAGAGATCGTGCCAGGCACCAGTGGCTCAAACCTGTAATCCTAGCTATCAGGAGGCTGAGATCTGAGGATCGCAGTTCAAAGCCAGCCTAGGCAGGAAAGTCCGTGAGACCCTTATCTCCAATGAACCACCAGAAAACCAGAAGTGGCGCTGTGGCTCAAGTGGTAGAGCGCTAGCCTTGAGCTGAAGAGCCCAGGCCTAGAGTTCAAGCGCTGACCAACCAACCAAAAAAAAAAGAGATCGTATCTTAAAACTAACCACAGCCAAAAGCCTGGTGGCATGGCCCAAGTGGTAAGGACACTTGCATAGCAAGCACAAAACCAAAACCATGAGTTCAAACCCAAGTACTGCTTTAAAAAAAGGGCGGGGGGGGGGGGGGGGGGATTGCTAAGGTGAGTGGCTTTCCTCCGGAGGTCTGGCGGATGCTCAGGCAGCCAGCCCCTCCCTTAGTCTGCCTACTCAGTGCCCAGGGGACGCGTCTGTCTCTGTCTCTGTGTGGAGGTGTCCAAGGCCTTAGCGGCAGCCTCCACTCTGCCACACCGGGCCGTGATGAAGTCCCGAGACTGCTCCTGTGTGAGAAGGCTGTGGTTTCTAGGCCTGCAGAATG